CTGATTCAGTTTGGGAAGATGAAAGTAGTTTTGTGGCTGGTTGGTGGTGACGTTGGCACGAGAGTGCAAATGTGCGTAACGCCACCGAACTATAAGGGTTTAAGTGGTTAAAATGGCACATGTTATATTATGTGCATTTTACCACAATTAAAGAGAATTCACACACACACACACACACACACACACACATCTTGGGGACAAACCATGTGGGTTTGAATCCCTGTTTCATGGTTTGCTAGAAATACGAGCTTGGTCGAATTACTTGACCAACGTGAGCCTTTGTCATCTGTCCCATGGAGGTGACAATGACACTCACTTCTCAGGGCTATCATAAGGTTCCAGTGGGACATGCCAGGTGAGGCACTCAGCCCATGGTGGGTGCATAGTCGGAGCTCAGCAGTAGCTACTGCTACCACTGAGTGCTCAGGCATCACGCTTGAAGGTCAACTAGAAGCTGACCACGGGCAGCCTTGCGTAACTTGTCCTTTTAAACTTGATCCAAAGAAGCGAAACAAGAATTTCCCACCACACGTATGCCTATTCATTAGTATATGCACCACAAAGGCCCGCATGGGTATGGAGTAAAGATGACTAACATCCTCACTCACCATACTCATTTCATATATTCCAAAGTAGTCTTTTCTGCTACGAGATCCGAGTCTGGCTTTGCCCTTAGGCAGATGACATTTAGGGCAGAGATGTTTTACGTTTATCAATACCATCCCAGATTAGACATCCGTTTTCTACCAGGAGCTGCTGGGATAATGTCTGAGGTGTTATGATGTTGTCCGCGTAAGCTTCAGAGGAAGGCCCGCAGAGATCAGGCTGGGTCTGTGGTCAAGGCCGCAGTAATGGGAGAGCCGGCCTCTGTCCCCCATCCCACTAGGATCACACTCGTGGACCCTCCGCGGCCATCTCTCTGCTCCCGGCTGCAGCAGCGGGTCTCTGCCTTCTGCAAATTGCCTGGGAAGTTTATCTCATGGAGGCTCAGGAAGCCAAGGACAAGGAGAAAAGCAGATAAATACTAGGGAGACCTACTACGTAGACTTGAGAGCTTCGAGACAATATTTGGGGATGAAATATGCAAAATCTGAATTGTAGTACTGCAATTCCAGTGAATATTTTCAGAACAATGGTTCTCAACTGGGGGCAGGGGGAGGATCTGCCCCTCTACTCCCTACCCCCAGGGGGCACGTAGCAATGTGTGAAGGCACAATTCACAGGCCGGGGAGGGTGCTAAACATCTTAGGATGCACGAAGTAGCCCCCACAACAAAGGATTATCTGGCCTAAGATGTCAATAGTGCCAAGGTTGAGAAATGTAGTTTTGAGAACAACCAGAAAAGATGAAAAGAAATCATTTCCTAGCTGACGCTACATGTATTGCATTGATCTATCTATCTTCTTCTTCTTTTTTTTTTTTTTTCCAATAGAGACAATAACATTAAAAAGTGGATTTGGTTAGGAAGGGAAATTTTCATTATACACTATCAAGGCTTCTTGAGTTAGACCTTCACTATATTAGTCAGAACTTGTTTCTTATCTTGCTCAACTTTCGGAAGGAATTTGTCCAAACATGGAATCCTGTTAAACTTGACAATGCATTATACCTGGGAAACAGCTTTATGGGCCGCAGATTAAAGTGGGAAAAAGGTGTGGAAAAAGGCACTATATGACCTATGGAGAACCACGGCAGAATAAGAGGCTTCCCCATGCCCTGGAATCCGAAACCACATCATCGTATGTTCCCCAAAACACCAGCCCTGAGAGAAGAAGCAGCGCAGCTACGAGCAGGTTCTCTGTCTGCTTGCCGGCCTCGCAATCCTGTCTTCAGGAGACAAACTCTGTGACCTTGAGCAAGGTTCTGAACTTTCTGCCGCTATTCGCCCCCTCCAATCTGGATAACAGCACACTGTACCTCGTAGGGTTGTTGGGTGGATGAACTGAGTGCCGGGGGCCTTGTAAGCCTTCTAGAAGGGCTATCCCTTACAGGGACGATGGCAAAGTAGAGAGCACTGGCATATTTAGAAAGGTTAAAGAATGGAATATATTTCCTTTTAAATATAAATCAGCTTTTGTTGGTGTTTCTGCGACTCAAAATAATCTCTGGGTTGCTTTAAAACTGGACGAAGGTAATTCGTTTTCTTTTCCTCTGCTCTGGAAATTATTAGCCATATTTATGGTAGCACCAGAGGATGCTCGCAAAATTAGAGCCCAGGGTAGAGAGGAAAGAAGCCAAGAAAGAGAATTCAGATAATTCAGGGTGAAAGCAAGTTGAAGGACAAGGCTTTGTGCTTACACAAATTCTAGGTGCGGGATACACATTTATTGACAAATGAAACCATGATGTATGTTTTGGAAGATGAAAAGCAATACAATCTGAAGGGAAGGCTGAGTTGTAAAGAGAGAAATCATTATGTAGGTGAGGCTCTGGGCTTACAAAATATTGCAGGAGTTTGGGGGAGCTCCAGCAAGGACACTCAGAATGGTTCTTATCTCTGGCTGCACACTGTGGCCACTTTTTTTTTTTTTTTGAGAGAGAGAGAGAGCCGGGGGAAGGGTGAAGGGAGAGAATATCAAGCGGACTCCACACTTAGTGCAAAGCCTGACACCGGGCTCCATCTCACGACCCTGAGATCATGACCTGAGCCAAAATCAAGAGTCGGACTCGTAACCGACTGAGCCACCCAGGTGCCCCCATTGAGGCCACTTTCAAGAATCCTAATTCCCAGCTCCATCCCAAACTAATTGAATCAGGATCTTTGGGGCTGGTGCCCAGACATCCTGTATTTTTAGAGTCCCCATATGATTCCAATGTGCAGCCGAAGTTGAGAGACCAATGTTTCTTAAACTTGGATGTAATAGGAATTGTCTGGGGATTTTATTAAAACTCAAATTCTGATTTGGTAGGGTGTGGGTAGGGAGAGGGAGGAGAGAGAGGAAATGGGAGGCTAAGATACTACATTTGTGAGAAATTCCCAAAACGTGTCCTGGGGGATTGCCCCCATTTGGAGTTGCAAGTTTCATGAGCTTTCAAAATGGCTCCATACAAATAAACATGATATCATTACAAAGTGCTACTGTTGTTGTTTGAAATTCACTTGTTCAACAGATGTATAATAACCCTCGGTAGTTATGTACTTTTGGAGGGATACAGATGAATAAGTAGATTCCTTCCCTCAAGTTGTTTACAATTCAATTTATAATAGGTGGCATTCAGTTAGGCAGAAAATAAAACTTCCTGACTGTAAGATTTCTTGATGGCAGTGTAATGGGATGGGTATCAAGGGGAAATTTGGGATGGAAGATGTTAAGATAAAGAGTTTCATTTCAGGAAAGTACTGAATGAAGAATGTCTGTGTGAAGCAACAGAATGGGCTGGAAAATTCTGGAAAGAGGTGGAAGAAATGAACCAGAAAAGGAAACTGAGCATCAGGGTTTTTTTTAAAGTAGTCTATAGATGGCTGTTACCATTTAGAGGTTTCTGAGGAAGGAGAACCTTGTTTCTTGAAGGTAAAAGGATCTCACTCTGGATTTGGGGTTTTATTTGCGAGCCCGCACTGGCCCATTTTATTCACTGGGCTTAGCAGATAAACCAAGCACATAAACTCAGATTCGAATCTCTCTGAAAGGCTCACCACATGTCATTTACATCTTGTGATTTTCATACCATACGCTATTTGCATTGTGATTTACAAATGTTGTGGCCCATTTGGTCAAGTGTATCCAGGGATACTGGCCCATGACTCTTTATAAGCATGGTCTCCTTATATCTCCATGTGCTTCACGTTATCAATCGAGGGTGGCGATCCCGTATAAAGAGTGTCTAGTTCATTCCTATGTTGCAGAATCGGCACAAATGGACTGACTGCCTGCTTATGGGGAACTTCATCCTCATCACTCCCCTGTCTGATACCAACTTTGCTGAGCCTGGCAAGCACATCACCAGGATTGCAAAATCTCCAAGTGCTTATGAAAGCACAGCCAGACCTGCTGAATTTTCAAACTGCAGGACAAACCTGCTCCTCCTCACCAATGTACCAACAGGTTTCGAAAAGTCTTTGACAGTCATTCCCCAAGCTTGAACACAAGTAAATTCTTAAAACAGGTCTCAGCTCTTTGAAATTCTTAAAAAGATGGGACTCAGGCAGGTAAAGCTCCGCCAAGTGATTCCCATGTGTGCCCAGGATGGGGACCAATGTCATAAAGCAGTGACTGATTTCTTTGTTCTTATTAAAAAGTAATACATGCACTTGATAAAAATTTAGAAAACATAGAACAGTGTAAAGGAGAAAATGAAAGTCACTTAATCCCCCTATCCAAAGATAAGGTTACTATTTCGAGAAGTTTCTTCTAGCTCTGTTCATTACACATGTGGGATTATGCCGTGTAGACAACTTTGCTATCCCACATGTTCACTTAACATTCCTGCTAAATCATGTTCACAGTGAAAATCATTTGTTTTTCTTAGGGTACTCAAATCCATTCAGGAAAACAGCTCTTCTTATTGGTATGAATTCACATTGATGGGTCTTATCCCCCATTAAAACAGGTCTGGGTGCTCACCTAGGCACAATATTTGATAACAGAATTAGGCTGCTCTCCAGAGGAGGTCTCGCTTTTAGGCGCAGTAAAGAGTGATTCTGTCTGTGGTAGGAACTGGTTAAGGTAAGTAGAATTTGCTTATTCCCACTCTCAAAATATCCTTGGGGATAAGGATATCCCAAGCTTAGGATAGTAGCCTCTACTGTGAATTTTTTAAATAATCTGCATGTTGTCATGATATTGGCCTATCTGACCACATAGTCCACGCTCGGGACATTTTCATACTAAATGCTCATTATTTCTTGAGCTTGCCCTTTTCTTCTTCCCAGTCCGTTAACACTGATCCTCATTAGGCAATTCTATCAACAAGCATTTATGGAACATTGATAGCGCTGGAATTTTAAGAATGGCAAGGATCAGGGCGCTAAAATCCTCCCCGGGAGGAGCCCACGAGCAATGGTGCTCGTCCCTGGCTACGAGTTAGAATCACGGGGAAGCTTTTGTGCCGAAGCCACACCCCAGACCAGGTAGGTCAGCATCCCAGAAGTTGGCTTTTAGAGCGCCATCAAGTGATTCCAGGGTGTACCCAGGGATGAGAACAGGGGCCACAGAGCAGTGATTTTCATCGAACTGGTTACACATTAGAATCACCTGGGGAGATTTTCTAAAAATTGAAATGCCCACCCCAGAGCAAAAATGAGTCAGAATCTTTGGAAAAGGAATCTGGTAGCTGTATTTTTTCAAAGCTCTTTCAGATGGTCTGGGACCCAACGAGGGTTAAGAATCATTACTATAAGCAATCTAGTGAGTGGGAAAAAAAATTTAGATTTGAACCCATTTCTGGCTGTTTGGCTTTGCAAGCCATGCATGGCCTTGGACCACGAGTTACCCCCAGGAGGCCATGTGGGGTTATGGAAACGGCATCTGACTGAGAGGTCATGAAGGAAACTGAAGGCATGGTTCAAGTCTTGTTTGCTATAAAATGTTTGCTATGTGATGTCAGACAAGTCAGACCTCTCTGAGTTGGGAGCCCCTCTCCACCTGCTTATGATGGCTACCACCCTAGTTTTTTCAGACTTTCTTCCTTAATTGATGTTTTACTGGTTTTTATTTGATGATCAGAACATAAACATGACGATCAACTTGTATATAGTTCTTAGTGCAAATACTGAAACTAGAAAAAGCTAGCAGCACCTGGCTGGCTCAGTCAGTAGAGCATGTGACTGTTGGTCTTGGGGCTGTGAGTTCAAGCCCCACGTTGGGTGCAGAGAGTACTTAAAAAATTAAATCTTTAAAAATATATATATAAAGCTACATGATTTTAGTTTTATTTCCCCCTAAATAGTTATTCTATTGATTTTCCAGCTTCAAATCTGGGGACAAATTGTTCTTAAAAAGAAGCTCTAAAAGGACCTCAAGGGCATTATGCTAAGTGAAATGAGTCAGAAAAAGACAAATACTGTGTGATCTCACCCACATGTGGAATCTAAAAAGCTGAACTCGTGGAAACAGAGAGTAGAATGGCAGTTGCCCCGGGGGCTGGAGGTGGGGGCAATGGGGAGCTGTAAGTTAAAGGATACAAACTTTGTGATAAGATGAATAAGTTCTGGGGCTCTAACGTACAGCATGGTGGCCACAGAATGCAATACTGGGTTATATACATGAAAGTTGCTAAGAGAGCAGAGCATATCTTAAATAGCCTCACCACACGCACACACAAAGGTAATTATATGAGGTGATGGAGGTGTTAACTATCCCTATTGTGATAATCATTTCACAATATATATGTGTATCAAATCACCACGTTGTGTGCCCTAAACTCACACAATGTTGTACGTCGATTATGGTTCAGTAAATGTGGAAAACAATAGAGGCCCTCAAATATCATTATCTTAAAGCATTGATAATCTGTTAGGTCTCAAATTCCACAAGTTCATGACTTCATATCACATACATTACATGCTCAAACATTTCCAATCTTTCACAGCACATTAACAAATTTATAAGGAAAAGCTGAACTACCCCAGAAGGAGATGTCATGGAGAGCACCCACTTCTGTAGAAGACAAGATCAGGGAGCAATTTTAGAAATAATCCTACTCAAAGACAAGAGAGGAGTCAAGTTAAGTAAGAGCAGATGTTTACAACAAGTTAAATGCATGATTATGACTAACTCACCGTTTGGTTATGTTTCTTTTTAGAGGATTAAAAACGGCCGACGCACTTGTCCGCCCCAGCCTATGATCAAAGCCTCCCTTAATTTGATATTTTCTTAATTTCTAGTTGTACTAAAAAAGAAACAGCCAGCCCATGAACTCACTTCTTTAAAAAGAAAAAAAAAAAGTATTTACGCATATCCAAAAAAAGTGTTTTTTAAGGCCTGGAATGAATTTTCTATTCCTTAAATGTGTATTTCTAGTACTATTAAAATCTTTCATTTATGAAGGAGTTTCATTTATAAAGTACAATTCCTGTGGATTGATACTGACGGTTAATGATGTTCATCAGATTTGGCTTCTTTCTCTCCTGCTTCATCAGAAGCTGACCTGTCCTAACTTTAGCTTCTCTGTTTACTGCCTGTGAGTCTTCAATTTCTTGGCCAATTACTTTGGTTCGTTTCCCTTTTACTCCCCTTTTCCCTTTGTCTGTATTTTTTGTTTGTTTTTGCTTGATTTTTTTTTTTTTTTGCATCAATCAATGTTTGCATGAGAAGGCTTGGATGACGTCTGGCCTATCGGTTCTCGAGCTCTCCCTTTCCTGGCTCTTGAGCTGCACTGCTTTTTCCTCTGGGCATCTGGGCAGAGGCTATGCTGGGGAGCACCCGGGTGTTTCTGGGGACAGCGCAGCCTTTGCGGGGCCGAGCCGGCCGGACATAGCCACTCTTGCCACCGCTGAGCTGCTGGAGCTTCTGTTTTCCAACTTGGTAAAAACTCCACACCTCCTTGCTATTTGTGAAACCCTGCGCAGGATCGTCATGTAAGAAGCTCATGTTGAAGCAGGTGTGTGTTTTTATGGAACGCCGATAAACTTCCCTCGAAAGTCCCACCATCATGTAAAGCGGCAACGATTTTTACCTTTCCGTATGAAAATAATAAAAATCCATTTAGAGTTTCTTTTCTTCTATAAAGACGAGTTACGTGTTTCTTTTGCCAATTCTTTTTCAATTTTTTAAAATTTACTTCTGTCAATTCTTGAGATTAGAGCAAACAGGGTAAAGGGGCGTGCCTGACAGGGAAGGCTTTAGGAGCTAAGAGCTGTCCCAAGGCTGCCACTCAGGTCAGTGGAGGAGGGCCCTGGACGGAAGAGCTCGGAAGAGGGCCACGGTCAAGTCTGAGAGTCCGAGCGCGGGGTCTCTGTGTCCCTCTGCTGCCTTTGCCTTCTTCGCCCTCTAAGTGCGGGGTGGAGAATGAGAGGAGGGCTTCCCTCAGAGAGAGAACATGGCTGGGGCACAGCTGTAGTCAAACCCCGGTCATCCCTGATGATCAGTCAACTGCTAAGTAAGACCAACAGAAACTACCCACCGAGCCAACCCCATCAGGGGGATCCATGTCCTTGATTAATGACCACTAATCTGTATTCATTGTTTACCAGCAGCTTGAAAAGGTCTTTAATAATACCGGAGAAGAGAACAATTAGAAGAGTACAGGCTAGCTGACCCTGTGACCTACAGAGGCCTAGACTTTTCTCTAACCAGTCGGTTTGGGCCCTAGAGTAAGTGTAGCTCCATACTTCCTTTAATTACCAGGGACTAGTTTCTCATCTCCTTGGGAAGCTCAAAATGCTTGATTCATGAATAGGCACAATCTTTCTCTTAATTATTAGTATCTATCCCTCAGGCACCTTCTTTAAAGAAAACTATGCATAGCTTTGAAATTGCTCGTTCTTTTATACAGATTCAATTACCAATGCAATGTCTTGAAATAGGCCTCTTAAGTAAATTTTTTTGTTGAAGTGTGGTATCCATACATAAATATATACAAATCATAAGAGTTATGGTTGGATGAATTTTCACACCCACATACACACCGCGTCTCCAGGTTGGGAAATAGAACCCTACCATAACCCGAGAAAACCCCTTCTTTGGTGCCCCCTTGGTTCCTCCCCAAGGTAACCACTACCCTAATCCTAACACCATACACTAATAGTTCTGCCTTTGAACTTTTCCATTTTAATAGTTTAAATCTGCTCCCGTGGACAGAGACTTGCCTTGGTAATATTTTTACCTCAGCAATCTCAATTCTAAAGAATGCTAGTTATTTCGCCTTTTCTTTTGTGTCTTATAAGTTGGACCAGCTTGATATAAAGCCAAAGAACTTCAAGGCTAAAAAATGTCTTTCTCACAGAGGGGGTCAGTCTTTTTTGTTTAATCATTTGGCCGCTGAGGAAGCAAGATGTGCACATGTGTGCACCTTCCTATTTTTTTTCCTGCCTCCACTTCTCTTTTTTCTTTTTACGTCCTCAGTAAACAGCCTTCTCCACCCTGGGCTATCCTTGCATACAAACCTTCCTCAACACCTCCTGCTCTCCAGAATTAATCACCACTGCACACGCTGCCTTGAATTAATTCTATTATTTATCACACAACAGGCACACACAACCTCAGGGAATCCCTTTTTTACTTCTGCTTTTTTTTTTTTTTTTAAGATTTTATTTTTAAGTAATTTCTACACCCAGTGTGGGATTTGAACCAACAATCCCGAGATCCGGAGTCACATGCTCCACCAGGTGAGCCAGCCAGGTGCCCCTTACTTCTGCTCTTGATGTAAAAGCAGGCAAGGGCTACACAAGCTAAAATAAACAAATGGGACCATGTCAATTTTAAAAGCTTCTGTACAGTAAGGGAAACCAACAAAACAACAAGACAACTGACTACCTGAGAGAAGATATTGGCATATCTTACACCCAAAAGGAGTTAAAATCCAAAATATATAAAGAACGTATGCAACATAGGAACAAAACCCCAGACAATCCAGTTTTTTAAAAAATGGGCTGAGGGACTTGAATACACATTTTTCCAAATAAGAGATACAGATGGACAACAGGCACATGAAAAATGCTCGCCGTCACTCATCATGAGGGAAATGCTGATCAAAACCACACTGAAATACCACTTCACACCTGTCAGATTGGCTATTATCAAAAAAGACAAAAAATAAGTGTTGGTGACAATGTGGAAAAAGGGGCACCCTCGTGTGCTGTTGGTAGAAATGCAAACTGGTGCAGCCACTGTGGAAAACAGTATGGAGATTCCTCAAAAAATCCAGCAGTTCCACTTCTGGGTATTTATCCAAAGAAAACACCAATTTGAAGAGATATATACATCCCTATTTTCATTGCAGCATTATTTACAATAGCCAAGATATGGAAGCAACCCAAGTGTCCATCGATAGATGAGTGAATGAAGAAGATATATAAACAATGGAATATTACTCAGCCGTAAAAAATGAATGAAATCTTGCCATTTGCAACAATGTAGATGGACCTTGAGGGTACTGTGTTAAGTGAAAGAAGTCAGACAGAAAGAAATA